GTCAAGTGCCTCTACAAGCACACTGAGTTGTGTTTGTTTTTATTAAACAAATGTTTAACAAGATAAAACAATATAAATTTTAGAAAATAAATAAAAAAATAGAGGAGAAATAGTGAATAGATAAGAAAGAAAATAGGAAAAAGAATATAGAAAAAATGATAAAGAAAAGATTATAAAAAGTGGCTCCCATTTTTCTTAGCAGTTATTATAAATGTTTTTATATTTTGTCCTCGCTCTCTTAAGTTTACATCATAATTTTCTGCCTTCCAAAGTCTACCCTTTCTAATCAAAAGTTCATTTTCCCTTTCTTTTGTAAAAAGTCCATAAGGGGTTTCCAATCACTAAACGTGATTATTGTCTTTCCCTAATCAAACAGGTCAATTTTGCCTTCCATTTTAATTCTGTTATTTTCAGAATTCAAATTCCTCCTTTGTGGATATTTCAGAGGGTTGCATATTAGTTTTTATTTATGTCTGTGTGTGGTTTTAAATGTGCTCATTGAATGTTGCTCTAGCATGACCAAGCACTTTTCAGTAGTTTTAGATGAGGATATTAAATCATCCCTAGAGGAGATTTTCTTGAATAGAAGTTGAAACGTGAGATGGACAGAAGGAGCTCTGCAAAGTCAGACCTAAGTTCTGCTAGAGTCAAGAGCAGAACAAACTTTCTTCAATAGAAGCCAGAAATGTGACACCAGATTGGATAGATGGATGAGGGTTTTGCAAAACATACAGCCCAAAAGAGATTATATTGCAATTAAAATAATTGAAAGCATGGGAAGCTGAGACACAATCAAGTTTTGAGTAATTTATAGAAGTTTACAGAAGGATTTCTGTCATACATGTAAAATGAGTAAATCAACTCCTAGGTCAACCTTAGTATAAATTGAAATAGGAAATGAGATCTGATGGGTTAGGAGTTTTTAGTACAAGTACTGTGCAAACTTCTTAATGGTAATTGTTTTGTTTCTTTGTTCATTAATTCTGTGAGATAGGCCATTTACACTTTCATAAGCCTATAAAGAAAAAATCAAGACTATCTAGAGGGAATCTGGCCAATGAGAAATTAAATCCAGAATTTTTTCCTCTTTTGGTCTAGCCAACATTATATTCTCTAAATCATGCATGTGGAAGAGAATTGCTTCATCCCATTTGTGCAAGGATGTATATTCAGTGAAAGCTATTTGCAAATGCATAAGACTGCAACTTAAAGGTAAATTTATGGACTGTGTCCCATTTGTTCTTTGTGGGATCACTGCAAATGTACAGATCTAATATGACTTGGAACATATGTGTAAGTATATTCTATAATTAAGGTAATGGGATTTGTTCAGTGATTTGAAGAGAGACAATCTACTTGGTTTAGTCAAGATAGGGTTTCCATCGAAGGCTGCCTTCTTTGTATTATTGGTTTCTGCCTGGCCCACATGAGTCATAACACATTTTTCTTCCAATAAAGATGTAATATAAAGTCACTGTCTAAATCTGGTCTTACTGAATCAGTCAATAAAAGAAAAGTCATTTCATTAATCTGAAGAATATAATAGGTGGAGTGACAATAAAAGAAAACTACCTAGACTGAAGAGATTTATGTGTATGGATGTTTGAGAGAAGAGGGAATGCAATAGATATCCTCTGAGTGTGCAGCTATACATGTCTTGGCATTAATTCTGCCTTCTTTAATCTGGTTCCCTCTAGAAGTTTTTGGTTTTAATTCTCATAATCACTAGCCAATATCATCATTAGCTAGATGGAAGATTGTAGAGGAAGTCTCCATTAAGAGCTTTGAAAAAGTAGGAATCCAGCACGTAGGGAATAAAGACTCATAACCTATAGTTTCATATGATCAGATACTGTTTTGACTTTCAACTAAATGGTCCTCAGCCAGGGATGTGTTTGTCTTCTCTTCAGTTTTTATATGTAAAGAAAGGACATCTAAAACAACTTAGATTTTGAAGTAGGAAGATCAGGGGTACAATAAGATCAGGGGTACTTCTGAACAGACTGTATAGAGTTATCTGTTGAAATATTTTCATTTTTCCCTTTAGATCAATTCTATCATGATCTTATGATGTATCCCGGTGTATTCTGCTCAAATGTTGCATTAGTTATGGCTGCTTGATATTTATTTAGATGTCTAAATGGAGTCATACACTATTATTCATTAATGTTGGTCACTTCAGTTTTTGGTACTTTGGTTTTTAAAATACAGCATCTGAAAGCCAAAATTATGGTTTTCATTTTAGTTAGTCTTCAGGCTTTTGTATTGCTTATCTGACTGCCCTACAGGAGTCCATCCCTGTTGGTATTTTATTAATAAAAGACATTGAGACAAGCTTGTATGATATATTCTATGGGACAAGAGCAAATTTATTCTCCTTAATTATATAGCTTGGCTTCTTATGGCCATTTTGAAAGGAAGATTTTGAGTACTACTGCCTTTGGATGAAATCTTAGCTGGTTGTAAACTGTAAGGTTTTTAGAAATAGCAATTTGTCATTTATGCATAGCTAAGTTCCTGAGGGTGTGAGACCACACAAAAGAGAAATTAAAAGTCAACATTTACTCCTCTATACTTCTTTTTAAAACTGAATGTTTCTCTATAATTCTCTGCCAGCTCATCCGCCAGTAAAACAAACTTTATAAATCAGGTCTTGGCTTGCATAAACAAGTAGGGATAAAAATGCCAAGTTGTGGGGTCAGATTAGGGTTAATCAGAAGTTCCTTATTTAAGATTTTATCTTAATTCTCTCTTGTGTCATGAAACTACAGCTCAATAACATAAAACAATCCCAGAGACTTTTTTATATTTGAAATATTGAGATAGTCTCTCAAATTCATTTTCTCAGAAGAGATAGATTAACAGATTAATTTCAAGCAACATAATAAAATTTAATTCTGTTTTCAGCATTGAACTGTGCTGTCCCACTCACACCCACACCCATGCACCACGGATGTGGGAGTCTTTATTAAGGCTTCCAAATTAGTATTCCCCAGTAATTCCCTTCACCAACACCAGCACACCCCCGATGAGTTCAACAGGCTACTCAAGAGAAGCCAGTGCCAGTCCACACTGCAAAGGCAAGGCAAATCCACTAGGCAAAGGCAAGTCCAGAGTTCAAGAAGCATGATCCGAAGTTCAAGGCACAGAATCCAGTCTGAGAGTCAAGTCAAGAATCACAAAGGCTAAGAACACACAACAAGGAAATGGACATGTTGTTACACTCCACTTGCTGAACTAAATAACTGCTTCCTGCTTCATCAACAGGGACAAGGCTGCTGCCTCACAAGTAACCTGGCTGACCTTTGTTATGCCTGCCTCTTCTCAGCCTTACGTGCTCTGAAGGAGGAGACAGCTCTTCCTGATTGCCACTGACCAGCTGTAGCTGCATGCTTTCTCTATCCGAAGCCTCTGGGCTTCCCAGCTGCAATAGTGCCTCTCCTGTCCAGCTGCTCCTCTGGTTGCTCCACTGTGCTTGGTCCCTCCGCTCCTGGCTCATGCAACCTCCAGATGTTTCTCCACATCTACCTCCAGCATCCCTGGGTCAGGCTCTTCCTCGCCTGAACTACCATCTGGGGAAGCATTTGAGGAAATCATCACACCAACTTTCTCTTTTTTTCATGTCTTCTGGTTTCATCCTCTAGTTTTCACTTTTGATGGTTCTAACATTTCTTATGATGATCTAATTAGTGGTCCATTTTCTTAGCCTTCTATTTCTTCCATTGCCTTGCTTCCCCTTTCATCATCCTCAAGAAACCCTTAATGTTGCTTCTGAGACTTGCCATGCATGACCCCCTCGACTTGCCAGCCATACCCAATGCGTGTAAAGCCAACCTGCTTTCCTTTGTTTTGTCTACAACAATTGCAGATCACAACCACTTTCAGGAGTGTTACTGAGTGAGTGTGAAATGTGAATCGGGAGGCAGGAAGCATGGTAGATGATGGGCAGTCAATCTGCCAATTAAAAAAAACAACAGCAGGAGAAACATACTTGATTGAGTATTCCATCCACAGTAGAAGTATGAGAGAGTTTTAAAAGCTGGTTTTTCTGTTTTTGGAAAAATCTAAAAAATGTCTAGCTGCTTGTAACTTACCTGTGTGGTTTTGCAGCTGGCGGCATGAGATAGATGGGGCCATGTTCAGTAGAAGATTAAGGTGGGAAATCTTGGTATGGTAGCACTTGAGTATTTTCCTTTCTGGTGGTTACCTGTTGTTGTCTTTTCCTTTTACTGATTATTTTCTTCTTTATTTCTCTTTTTTGTTTAGTGCTTGTTTTGCTAAGATTTTTTTTGACAGTTACTACATATGATTTATAATGCTTAACTGTATACTGAGTTATTCTTTTTTTCCCTTCTGGTTTTTAAAATTCTGTCATCACTTCAATGTTGTACCTCATGAGTTCCGTTCTTATTTTTACTTGGTTCAACCATTTATCAATTGTCCCCTTGTCTTTATGAATTTATTTGAACTACCCATTTTAATGACTGAGGTGGTTTTTCCCTTGTCTGGTCTCTTTATTTGCTTGTCTTGTGGTTTTGACTATGTTTGGCATTTATTGCATAACATAAATAAATGGTTTATGCTCATTTTAGAGTTATGGTTATTGCTTAACTTGCTCCTTCTTCTGCAGAGAGAAACTATTTTCCTATATTAGTTCAGAGTGGAGAGTGCTTTGTTGAGTCCAAGAGTGCTCAGTCCAAAGAGCTGCTTCATCTTGCTTGCTTGGCTACTTGTAGTCATTTGGCTTAAGACTGACAAAGATCTGTGGGGTTTGGGGGAGATAAGTAAATTTGATAATATTATCTCTGGGAGAGTTAATATTCCTGGTAACTGGAACCAGCCTTACAAAGACTTTTTGATGTTTCCAAAATATCGCTTAAAGAGCAGATCCTGAAACTTGGTATTTACTGAACTGAAACTACTCTTCTGGTTCAGAAGATCCCCAGTCCCTAAAGCATGTTCTTCAATTGATTTGAACTCAAGTTTGTCTTCTTTTACAGATTTACTGGCCACCTCTTCCTGGGCAGAAAGAAGAATGCTTCCAGAAAGGAAAGGACATAGCGGTAGGTCATCCCATTGCTTGTAAAATGCTTATGCTAAATTTCATCTCCACTCTGTGACGTATTTGAAATGAATTTGCAGTTTCTGAAAATGTCTGCGGTCACCTTGGATTTTCTTTTTCCAAAAAATTCGTTCAGTCCTTCTTCTACACAAAGGATTCATCCCTGCCCTAACTTAAGCAAATTGCATTCTGTGAGGAAGGAGATTAGGGATCTACAGTATTTCCTCACTAGTACCTACCCATAGCACAAAAATGACTTGGTATCTGCTGTGCCCTATGGCGTTCTTGATTTCATCCCCAGCTGAATGAAGCTTAAGTTGTCCTGATCTATACTATTAATGCATTATTTCCCCTTTATTCTGACATCATCAAAGAGCAAACTGAAGGAGTGTAAAAGTTTTGTTACTCGTAGGCATGATGGGAAGGGAAGGGAACAGATGTAGTCAGGGTATATAGGTTGTTGGTGGGACAGTAAATTTCACACTAGCATAGTTTTCCGTCTACTCAAGGATAGGTAGATAGCACTTTAATAAAGCAGGTGGGGAAAATGCCAGTGATAACGTTGCACCATGCTTTATTTTAGCGCATACATTTTCCAACATAGGCTGTTACCCTGGCTCTCATAGCCATGTAAACAAGTCTTCCAAGGTCTTGCATTTGTTGGGAATCATGTATTGTCTTAGCAAGCTTGCTTACTGTATAAACTCAGGCTATTCTGAATTGGTGGTGTATTGTCCAAAGTCCCTTAGGTTTTTTCTTCCTAATAATTACATAGGAGAGGAACCTTCCTAAATCAGATATTTATCTGGTCTTAAATCCCACTTTAGACACCAGCCAGACACCTAGGAAAATCCACAAATTGGGCTTGAAGTCAGCAGCTTCTCCTGTTGTAATCTCCAATCAATCGGTATTCAGTTCCATGCAGTCAGTTAATCCAAGAAAAGCAGGGATGAGAAAATCTGTCAATATCAGTTTTGCTCAGTTTTTCATGTTTTCCAATGCTAAATTTGTTCCATGCTATTTTGGCATCTCTTCCGAGTTGATTTTTTTCTCGCAGTGCTCACAAAAAGTAAATGCTTCCTATTTATGTACATGTTTTTGTAAAAGTTTTTCCTAAAGTATTTTTACTTTTTTCATAGCATGACATAGTTTTGATTGTTGCGTCCTCTACTATAAACATTTTTGAGAACATATTCCAATTATAAAATATTTGCATATTGCTTTATACTGTTTGTTCATAAAACTGCATCCTAAAATCCAGTAGCATCCACATATTAATAGACAATAAATTTTCTATTAATGTATAAATCTGGAAAATAAGCCTAAGGTAAGTTTGCATTAAAATAAAAACAAAACTTTTTTTTTCATCCAATCAATATGATTTCCATAGATTCTCCTACAGCACCATTACCCACCTTGATACTTTTCAGCTGCATTGAAGTGCAGTTCCTCATATTCCTAGCGAATTTATCTCAAGCCAGTTTTATTTTTGTGGAGTGTAGATGTCATATCTGATCATGGATTTGCCTGGTCTGTCCAGAATTTCAGTTAACATCTATATTAAACCTATTGCAGTATTCTTCTTAGGCTGATGATGTATGTTCTCGTCTACCATATGGTTTTGAGAAACTGTGCAAGAGTAAATGCAGGCTAACAAAGCTTGATTCAAAAGGGTATGAGAGCTCACATTAGGAGGAATAACTGATATAGAGATGCAGATAGTTTGGGAGTGCTCCTAGTGCAGGGGTAAGCAACCTTGGCTCTTTTATGACTTGTGGCTGGCTCAGGAATTCTGGGAGTTGAAGTCCACGAGTCATAAAAGAGCCAAGGTTGCCTACCCCTGTCCTAGTGGGTTATGCTCAAGACTTCTTTTCCTCCATTTTAATAGTGTGCTAGTTATATCCTTTCCTAGTAAAGGCAGATCTTTCTGGAATTAAAATACTGTAATGGCTTTCAGATTGGAGTAATTTGCTAAATGTGGGCCTGCTCATAAAAAGTGTCAGTCTGCTGTAGTGGTTGAGGTGGTGGTCTGGAAATCAGTAGAATCATATTCCATTTCCGATTTAGGCATGAACAATTTAGGCTGAGTGAATTTGGGCCAGTGTCTCTCAGTCCAACCCATTTCACTGTAAGAGATGAGCAGCCTGACCCAGAGGGCAGGGTCAAACATGTTATCAGTTTGGAGTCACTGTGCTCCCACAAGAGACTTAAGTCTAGCCCCCTGTAAATTCTGTTGACTCTTATCTAGCACCAATTTGACTTGACCGTTAGTAGATCAGATTCTTGTGTATAGGTAAGGTAAAGGCAAAAGTTTCCCCTGGCCAGTCATGTCTGACTCTAGGGGCGATGCTCATCTCTGTTTCTTAGCTGAGAGAGCCAACATTTTCGGAAGAAGCTTCTGTAATCATTTGGCCAGCATGGCTATATGCTGAGACACATGGAGTGCTGTTCTTACCCTCCCACCTATATATCTACTTGCATTTGCATGCTTTCAAACTACTAGGTTGACAAGAGCTGGGACAAGAATGGGAGCTCACCTGGTACTTGGATCTCAAACTGCCTACCTTCCGGTCGACAAGCCCAGCATTTGAATTGCTAGGCCACCACACCCCTTGTGTATAAATAGTATGTAATAAACTTTTAGTGCTTTCAGCTCAACTCCTGTTCCTGGTTACTTGTGCCTGACACTCACAGGGTCTTTACTGGATATTCTTTATGACTTGGTGGCCATTATTTTTTTAAGATTATCTGATGTTAACTGCTCTTTTGGGTTTTTGTGAGCTTATGCTTGTGTCATCAGAGATAGTATCTAATGCTCTTATCTTTTCTTGGCTTCCCTGTAGATTGCTTTAGTTTTCCAAAACGTTAGCATCTTCTCCAGTATCCTTTGTATTATATGCTCAAAATAGCATTGCTCCATTATTAGTGTTTCTAGGGGGTTGTCTACTCTTACTTAATCTAATATTGAATGATCTGTTCTTTTTGTGGGCTAGGATATTCTCAGCTTTTTCTCCAGCATCACAGTTTAAAGGCATTAGTACAATATCATGAGCTCTGAACTTGATTCTGATCTTATTCCTTGGGGTACTGTACTCTATACCGTGGAAGTTTGGGATTCTTACTGCTGAAATTCCATCTTCTTTATACAGATTGGGGAGGCAACAACTCATTAGGTATTGATTGTAGAACACATTCTCAGGAGACATCAAGCTGCCTACCGGATTTCAATTTGATATTAGATTCACTATAAGATCTTATTACTAGTACGTAGTGCCTATTCTTTGCTTCTACATCAATGCAAGCAATAATCTAAGATTGGGGGGGGGGAGTAAATGTGGGGCTTATGAGAACCCTGGGATCTTTTGTTGACAATCTATCTCATTGTGATGGTTCCCAAGAGTGAGTATCACTCCCTTCAGCCTTATGGTATTTATTTTGCAGTCTGAAAAAAAGCTGCAGGCTTTGAGGGGAGTCTTAAAATGCTCATTCTTTGCTTTTAGAAACACAAAATTTTAAAAAACTCATTCTTTTAGCTGCAGAAAAAAAAGTATTCTTTTCCCAGCATTTCTGCTTTTAATAGGATACATGAGAACTTGACCAATGTTATCCAGAAGGAATGGATCAATAGAAGCAATGATTACATTTATAGAATACACCAGCTATTAAAGATCCACTAATGCAATTGAGTTAAGATGCCGTGTCTTCACTATCCTCCTTGTTAGTTAAAAGCATTGTTAGAATAATAAAAGTGGAAAATATGTCCAGTTCTCCAGTACATTTTTAGACTGTGGCTTAGAGGTCCGATAACTCTTTCCATGAGCTCACTGCCAGACACATTCTAGGTTTAGCTTATAGTCTTTCCACTTATATAAAATGAAGCCTTACGTAATACACCAAGAGCCATTAAAGAATGTTGGATTTTTAGTTAATCAAGGAACTCTTCTTATTTATCTGTGTTATGTTCAGTGCTATTCAGTGGATGGAGCTGAAGAACTGGGTGTTGATACAGGATATGAAAAGAGTGAAAAGAGAACCTTGCTTCTTGTTTCTCTTGGGGTAGGAGAAAGAATGGAATGATTCTTCTGTTGCAGCTCTTGCTTTGATGCACTCCCTGTAGTAGGTGAGACACAGCTTATTTGAGGAGAGGCATTTTGATGCCAGATGTTGTGCATTTGTAATTCCAGGGTATTCTGCATTTTGTTTTATTGGAGTTTGATACTATCTGATTTTATATTTCAATTGCCTTTTAAAAGTCGTATAAATTATCCATCATAATTTGGATGTGTGACCGCAGACAAATATTATATAAATAACTTTATAGGAAATTTCATTTTTTTTCTAAACAATTATTCAAAGACATTATTTTAAATTTCTCCCTTTTTACTTAGGCACTGTTGCTCAGCTATTTGGATTTTCAGTTCATCAGTAGGTGAATATGTTTGTACATCTTCTCTGTTTTAAGATTTGTGAAACAACCAGATATCTATTACATAAAGAGGAAAAAAGTTTAGAATAGAATAGAACTGGAAGGGACCTTGGAGGTCTTCTAGTCCAGGGCTTTTCAACCTTTTCACCCATTGTACCATTTTTAGGATATGGCAACATCCGAGTACCACCAGTCGCCTAGCAAGGTGTCAAAAACTTGATGACCCCCCCCAAAAGGAAAAAAGTGATGAAGTACAGGTAGTCCTCAACTTACAACAGTTCGCTTAGTGACTGTTCGAAGTTACAATGGCACTGAAAAAAGTGCCCCCCCAAGCCACAGCCGAGCAAGACACCTGCCTGCCCACCCGGCTGTGCTCTTCCTCCTGTCCAAGGTTTTTATCGTTGTGAGCATTTCTGTTGAGGATTGGAAGCAGGGATGGGGTGGGGGGTGTTTGGTTTTTATTCCCCCCATCTGCTGGGTGGTTGTAGCAGGTTTTGGTCACTTCACATGACCCTGGGACACTGTGACCGTCATAAATATGAATCAGTTGCCAAGCATCTGAATATAAATCACAA